GCTACCTCTGGCAGCTACAGGCATGCAACAGCTGTGCATTGATGCTGGTCTTCTATTGGCTCAAAAAAAAAGTTCAACATGTTTGTTGTTATCTCCAAAGCCCTTCCAGAACTGGAAACCACGTATCTGAAACACCACCTCATTTGCCATGAATCTGAGTGCCAATTCGCTGTCAGTTCACCCCAAAATAACCTTGAAACACACACACACACACACAATTCTAGCTGGAAAATCCTAAATTCTATTCCAACTAAATTTTACTATAAAACTTGAAGTACAGCCCTATGAAGAGTCTAAGCAGACTGATTTCAGTGGGCTTTCGCTGGAGTGATTCAGCACAGGATTGTCCTCTTAATTTTTTCCAAATTCGCACAAGCCATTCATTAAGTATTGGGAAACTTGAAAGTGTTCACAACCTGGCTATTACTAAGCATCTGTTGGAAACCACTTGCAACCTTAGCCTGATTTCCTTCATTTGTATAAGCTAAGAAGGCAGAACCGATAGGCTCAAGTAAGGGTTGCCTTTGAAAATTGTTCATAAACTTTAATTGTTCCAGCTGTACACAGGGATCATATCGAGTCTGCAATGAAATATCTTCGCATTGCCCATTTGCTTCAAAGCATATTCAAAGTTCTGGTTCCTATCTTTAAGGTTATAAACAGCTTGCAACAAAGGTCCTTGAAGGACCACCTTCTTCCATATAGCTCAGCACACTGGTTAAGATCCAGTTCCCAAGCCCTGTTCTAGCCCCCCCCCCCCAGCAGATGTCAGGCAGGTGGCAATGAAAGGCAGGGCTTTTTCAGGGGTGGCACCTAACCCTTTGGAATACTATTTCCTTGAAGGACCCTACTTGATGGCCCTTCAGACACCAGAACAAAACACCCCTTTACTTTTAATTCATGAGGTTCATCTTCCTCACCTGTTTTTATGGTCTACATTTAATTTCTGGACTGTTCCGTATATTTCACTTATAACCTATGGTTTTTATGGCTTGTTTTAACAGATAAGTGTATGGTTGTTTTAGCTACTTTTTGTGCTTGTTTTTCTTAGTGAACCACCTTGAGAAGGACCCCTGAAGTGACATTTTTTTTTCCTAAATGAAGCTGAGTTGTCAGTGTTAAACTTGTAACAAAGAAGCCTAGTCACAGCTTTACACACTGCATCCTCCCCAAGATGTGTACTTTACTCCTCTTTCAAAGGGCTCCACAACTGAGCCTCCGTAATTTGCTTTAATAGGGCTTGCCTGGGTCTCTCATGCTTGCCATATTGGAAGGCATTAATGCTTGCTAAACTGTGCCTGATATGCTGTGCATGGAGCACGGATATAGTGAACACACACATGAAGCTGCCTGAGGTCAGGACACAGTATTGGTCAGACGGCTTTTCTACGCAGGCAACAGTGTTGCCCTGTGCAAATTGATCCACAAAATTACTTGGATACACAATTAGGGTCTGTGGCCTATACTACTGAGCAGTGTTCCCTCTAAGCTGAGTTAGTGTGAGCTAGCTCACGGATTTTTCGCCTCCCACTCCCACGTTTTTGTCTTGCCTCAGGAAGGATGGTTCCAGAGCAAACTAATTTATACAGTAGCCAAATCACTCACTGACTCACTTTAATGCCAGTCGCTCACAAAGCAGAATTTCTGCTCACTAGACTCCACATCTTAGAGCTTTGCTACTGAGTACAGCTCGCTGTAATTAGGCTCCTACTACATAATTCTGCGTCGTG